CCTGCTTCCTCTGAAAACCACAAATTGTTTCTTCTATGCCAAAAAACTTTTCAACTTCTGATATATTTCCTTTTTCTCTCATTTTCCTCTTTGAAGAAACTCAAAGGACAAAGACAACTGGTAAAATTGTTCTCTCTTTCTGATTTGGAGACCTTAGTCTCCTCCTCCTTTCTCCTCCCAAAATGATGTGGTTTTTATCATTGTGGGATTTACATTCCATGCTGATGACCAAAAGACCATGTATGTACAACCCAAACACAGAGGACTTCTGATAATAATATTCTACTTCTGATTCCGCTGCAGGTTTGATATGCAGACAAAGAGATACTAAGCACTTTAAAAAATTTCTGTCCTATCTTCCTCTAAGTTTTGGTGCTTAATGTCCTGCAGAAGTGTGCTCATGTCTACCACCGACCATTCTTTTTTCCATGCACAGTTACCTGGCGATATTATCACAGATTCCATGACCTCCGTATTTTGCAGGCTCCACTGGTGCCCCAGCCTTTCTGACCATAATTTTAAGGGTCAATCGTTTACCCTTCATACCAGCAGCTTCAAGTCTACGTTGGATTTCTTCTGAGAGGCTCAGAAGAAAAGCTTCTGCTTCCTTAGGCTGAAGGGGAAAAACAACACGTTTAGATTACTAGTTTTCAAATATTGAAGGTAAATCATTAAGGGTTAATACAATCCAGATTTTGTAAACTGAAAAGAGCAAGCTGACTCACAGGCAAGTGTCTTACCTAACTTCAGGTGTTTTGTTTACATTGTAGGTTGCTGCAGTTAGGCAAGATGGTAGATTCCTATCCTAATGCTGAAATAAGTAGGTAAATACTAAGTCCTTTTGGAAGTAAGTCTTTAAAAAAAAAAAGTATTTAGAAACCCCAACACAGAATTGCAAGTCTAATTTTACGCACACACCTAGAAGATGAAGAGCGTAGGGCTTATAAGGAACATCTTTTTCACCATGGGGGAAGTCAAGCAGTGGAACAGGTTGCTCAGAGTTGTGCAGTCTTTGTTCCTGAAGGTTTCCAACACCAGACTGGATAAAGTCCTGAGCAACTGGTGTGATCTCATAGCATCCCCTGCTTTGAGCAAAAGGCTGGACTACACAACATCATGAGGTCTCTCCCAACCTGATTTTTCTATAATGTCTATAAATGCTAAAGTAGCCAGCAAAGAGCTGAGTTATTTTTTAATACAATTTTGTCAACAACACTCCCCCCCTCCCCATAGTATTTGTAAAAAGGCTAATTAAAATCTTGTACTGGAGTAGCTGGTGATGATTTCAGGCACTGGCATGTTTGAATAATCAGCGTTTAAATGAAAGAGAATGCTAGGTGCTGACAAACCTACTGCAGTTCTCTTTTTCTGTACCAGACTTGTATAACGAATGCAGAATAGCCAGCTAATTTTGTGCAAGCTTCTTTTCAGTCCAATACTTTTGCAGTCTCTCCTCCCATTTTATGGTTTGGTCTCCTACTTCTTCATTTTCCTCATTTCTATTTGGTGGCTAAGATGGTGCTCTAACAGATCAAAGTGTAAGTGAAAATAATCAGAATATGAGAAGATTCTTCTACAGCTGGAAGAAGTTACTGAAGAAAAGAAAGTAAGTTTGAATTTACCTGTGTAAACCTTATTCCATAGTTGATTTCTGCTGAAACAGATTTTCTTTCTTTTTCTGTACGAACAGGTCGATCATCCAAACCACGACAAAATCTGTAGAGCATTTGTCCTGTTTTTGGACCAAATTCTTTTTGCAGTTTTGACATTGAAGCACACTGCAGATCTCCACAGGTTTTAATTCCCAAAGAAGCCAGCTTAGATTCTATTGTCCTGCCAACTCCTAACAACAAAGCAATTAGTTAGCTCTACACAATTCAGAGGCGGTCAGGTTTTGAATAAATAAACCGTATCTTTTTAAACCTACACTAGGTCATATCAAATTAATAAATATACACCATAAAAATAAATTCCACTCAATAAAACATGGTTTGAATGGAAACTTTTACTGTTTTCACCTGTATTTCTTTAATCTGTTTTACGTATTTAGTTTAAGATGTCATAATGCAGCATGTTTCTTTATTTCTGGGTAAAATGTGAATGACTCCTGCTTGCAAATCTTGACAAGGTACTGCCTGTTACAGAGTATATAGCTCTGAACACCACAACACTCAGTTCAAAAAGAGTGTCCAATATGTAATATGTTTTGCCATCATACAGAAGTGATTTAATCTTAAAGAAAACCAACAAATATTTTGACTACTGTTCCACTGCTTCCTAAATAGAAAAATAATATTTCAAGCAGAAGTGATAGCATACCCATATCACTTGTGCTTTGAATTACCAAGCACTGGAAATTGTAGGTATCCATGGCAACGCCACATACGTAAGTATGATAAACTTAACTATATTTCTGGGTTTTGGAGAGGTGGCCTGTTAGAATGATAGAATAAAACCATAGAATGGTTTGGGTTG